GCACCTTGAGCGACCAGTGTTTTTCCTGTTCTTCTCGTAGATCCTCTGCTTTTCCTTGCGCCTCGCCTTGGAGTCTTCCTTGTCTTCAAGAACGACCACGACATCGTCCTGCTGCTCCACTTTGACCTTGACAACCGCTAAGGCTGGCTCGCCTTTCACCATGGCTCTAAGGAACGACCCAGGATAAAACAAGAGAGGCTTGACAGCATCAGAGAGACCTATGTTTCATGTTATCAAACACACAGCACCAAGAGACATGAATGATGAAACCCAGCAGTGAGACCCAGCACCATGACCCGGCGCTGGGACCCGGCGCCGGGACCCGGCGCCGGGACCCAGCACCAGGACCCAGCACCAGTACCGATCATGTTGTGCATAGTTTTAGCATAAGCTTTCGTGGTTTGCATGTCGAACGTCTAGATAGTTTAGGAATCAAGCAAACTTAAACTTATGCTACTGAATTTAATTAGATAAACTTCAAGTTGTGTTTTATTTTAAATATTCAAATGTTACATAACTATGTATGTTATATGGGTTTTGTTCTAGTAAATAAACTGCTTTAAAACCTGGGACCCGGCGCCGGGCCCCAGTTATATTAGCTGTCTTTTAGATTAGCTTTCGCTGAACTTTAAGCAAAAAAGAACAGCTTAGCTGTAGAGATCATCTCCTGAGTTTATTTAGCAGTGTGCAGCTGTTGTAGTGCTCAGGCGAGGACGACCGGGGCTTGTGTCCGTCAGAGAAGGCCACGTCCACCAAGAGAGGCCCAACACCTTTGGCCAAGACACTAAAGGAACATACTAACAAAGACACTTGTGCGCAGAAAGGGACCAGCACGTAAGCCAAGGCCAGGGCCTGTGTGGCTCAGGCAGATATGTGCCTGCACGAAGAAAAACTGGACCGACGTGAAATGGCATGTCGCACATGAGGGCAGTGGGCAGCACGCGCAAGGGCTTTTTGTGCTCTTCCTGAGGAGTTCGATCACCATCTGCATCAGTCCGACCACCGCCTGCGCCTAGAGCGAGAGCGGCCAGAGTGAACTCTAGAGCGGCGCTCATGGCTGTCATCTTGGTCCTGTGCAGAGTCTTGGGCATCAGAGTGGCTCTGTGCAGACAGATCTTGGGCACTGGGGCGGCCCTGTGCAGGGCGGTCTTGGGCACTATTGCGGTCCTGCGCAGGGCGGTCTGGGGCACTAGAGCGGCCCTGTGCAGGGCGGTCTCGGGCACTAGAGCGGCGGTCTCGGGCACTAGAGCGGCCCTGTGCAGGGCGGTCTCGGGCACTAGAGCGGCCCTGTGCATGGCGGTCTCGGGCACTAGAGCGGCCCTGTGCAGGGCGGTCTCGGGCACTAGAGCGGGGCACTAGAGCGGCCCTGTGCAGGGCGGTCTCGGGCACTAGAGCGGCCCTGTGCATGGCGGTCTCGGGCACTAGAGCGGCCCTGTGCAGGGCGGTCTCGGGCACTAGAGCGGCGCTCGGGCACTAGAGTGCCGCTCTGCAGGGTGGTCTCGGGCACTAGAGTGCCGCTGTGCATAGTGGAGGCTGTCCAGGAGGTTTTGCCGCCAGTTGGTGCGCCTCGATATGCAGCTGTCAGTCTTGACAGTCCAAGGCAAGCATGATGAGACTAATGGACACATGGGTAATAATCTTGCGAAGTAGCCCATGGTAACGCGTGTCCACTTGACGGGGATTGGCGGCCTCTTCGTTCACAGCAGCAAAGGAGGGACCTGATTCTGATCACTCGACTGGCTTGGCTGTGGAAATATTCAGTGCAGCAAGTTGTGTTTAAGTTAAGACAGGCCACCATTGAGCTCTTCGATGGCGAAGCGGCAGGCTTGAACGACCAGGTTCTGCGGGAAAGCGTGACGCTCCTTAGCTGACTTCTGAACCCCTCCTAAAAGTGATCTTAGCCTTCTTATTATAAATGTAGAAACCCAAAAAGTTAAAGTCTAAAGAGCCAACCAAAAGAACACCAAGGCTCATACTCCTCAGGCACGCTGTCCCTGATGCTCAACAAAGGGTGGTCGAGCAACAGCTGCGGCAACACGGAGTTGACCAAAACTTCTTGAGCGGCCGCCTCCGAGACCTCCGCCAGGTTCGCGAAGGTTGCCATCCTCAGTGTACATGACAATTCAATGTTTCCCTAACTTCAATGCTGTCCTTCGGCCTAGGTGCCCGTAGTCGTCGGTGTCGACCGACTCGAGAAGCAGAGCGGCCTCGATGTGGTCCTCGACGAGTCGACGGCGAACCTTTGCAGAGAAAGCCACACAATGCAGGTCAGAATGCAGGCATGGAACACCTTGAGCAAAGCCACTTCCTGGAAGGCCCGCCTCTTCACATCACGACGGTCTTCCACGGTGGCGAACATGCGGATGTCTTGGTGACAAGTCTGAGCGGAGCGGCCACCGTCACCGTCATCGACGGAGGTGGATCGGGGCTGACTAGAGGTGGATCCAGAAGGCACGGCCCTTAACGCAGTGGAAGGAGCCGCCCTTAACGGAGTGGAAGGAGCCGCCCTTAACGGAGTGGAAGGAGCAGCTTTGGGAGGCGTGGCCTCGTCAGCAGTCTTGTCGTCGAAATCAGCTGGGTCTTCTTCGTGAAATTCATCCTCCTCCAAGCTCACGTCGGAGGTTTCTTCCACAGCTGCAGCTGCATCGGCTTCCGAGAAAGGCTCCATGCACAAAGCCCGAAAAAAGGGGCCTTAAAGGAAGGCCCAAGGCTGTGGCTTGAGAGGAAAGACCTCCACCAATTCCAAGTTGCACTGTCACAGAATTGGCAGGCACCCACAGCTGCGACAAACTAGACTACAGACAAAGAGCGCTGGCCTGTGTCCACCCACATCACGACAGGGAATCACCACGGACCTTGGCAAGTGACACCAGGCAAGGCCGACGACAAACACACTTAACAGGCAGCTTCCAAAAGGAGATAAATGCTCTGTGCCCAAGGCTGAATGCAACGACTATTTTGTCCTGATGCCGTGGCTCTCCTTTCAAAAACAGCTAGAGAGGCCGTCCGTCATTCAGTTCTTCCTGATGCCGTGGCTCTCCTTTCAAAAATCCCAGTGGCTAGAGAGGCCATCAGTCACTTTGATCGGCCGTCAGCCTGTCAGAGTCATTTTGAGGATGGCTTTCCGACGCTGCTCACCTCAGTGTTCAGGGAGGCTGCGGACACACTGAATCCTGTCACAAAACCGTATCACCAAAGAAGTAAATCCGTTAACCTCCGAAATCCCTCCGAGTCACGAATGACTCTGATTTCCCTGAAGACGTGCCGAATAATGACCGCTTCGGGATAAGTCCAGATAGCGGCTTGGGTCATCCTCTCTCTGCCCTCACCCTGGGTCACGAGGATATTGTTTCCTGAGTGTAGTGGGAAGTGCTGAGAAAGAGCCGACAAAGACCAGATTGCTGCCATGCTTCGGATCAGCCTGTGGATGAGGGAGCTGGCCGAAAACGATCCCGCCGTGGAGTGGCGATGCAGGCAAAGCCAGGCCTGACTGAGTCTGCTTACATACTTCAATCCAACTGTGTGGCCCCTGACCCTTTCACACGCAGGCGAGTCACTACCCAGACTTCCGTCGGCATGTCGTAAAGAGCGGCCGCTGCGTGAGGACTGCGCCGGAGGACCTCTGCCTTAAGGCGGGCGCAAAGCCAGTCGAGCCTCTCCGCACGGGCGTTCCGGGGATCGACCGGAGGATAGCACTGAGTGGCCTTGGAGACTTTTACCATCGTGGGATGCTGAACGAGCTGGCTATGATGGTCCATCGAGCCTTGCATTTAAGTCTTTAATGGCCTAGCTTGGGCAAGCCTTGCAGCTTCGTAGCTGTGTACATGTTGACACATCAGTCGTCTTAAACAGATTCGAAAAGGAATCGCCCTCTCTTTTTGAACCAGGGCTTTCGCAACAGGCAGCAAAGGTTGCACATGCAAGCTGCGGGCATCACTCTGTGTGTCCGAAGTTCAGGGCCAGGCGAATTGCCCAGCCAGGACCAAAAGGCACTCATAGACACCTGGCAGCAGCACACCACGAGAGGCAGTTTAAGTTTTCCCAGGATGCCCAGGCAATGCTTTCTGAGCTGAGTGCCCAACACCTGTATCGATGTTCCACACGAGAGGGTGGGTGCTGCGCTCCGCTCAGGCCTGGAACGTTGCAATGGGCACACACACACACAACACTCAGAAACAGGAAGAGCAGCTGTCTGCCCTTGCAAAAGCCAAGGGTGGCACTTGCTTGACGAAAACAGATGGGATGCCACCTGCGCCACGAGGGCATGCAATCTCTGGTCACTGAATTGAGACTCTGAGCAGGTAGTTTTTTCTGTGAGAGTCGCGATCTTACTGTACACAGGCCGGCGGCCAAGACTTAAGAGCTGCCGCCAGGAATTCTGTACTTGTAATGATCGAGCGGGCATCAGGGTCCCGAAGAGCTGCCAGGATTATTCCTTATTTCGTGAACCGAGCTTCAATAAAGCAACATTAGTTCGAGGGACAGCAAGTCGCAGCCGAGTTACCCTTGGGAGTTGGAGCGGCCTTGCTCCTGCGAGCCAGAGCTGCCACCAGTGACATCGTTGTCATCGTCGCCGTGGTACTGATGCCTTATTTTGCGAAAGAAGTGCATTTCGCCGACAAGGAAAGAAACCACCTGAGAAGCCAACCAAAACCTCACAGCCGAGGCACCATTGGGTGTGGCATTTGTTGTGGCTCCTTGGACCGATAAAATCACAATCTTCAGAGGCCCGGGCCGTAATTGAATGTAAACTCACAGCCCAGCCGAGGCACCACCCCTGTTGCTGGCTGGCAGACTTCCAATTCCTTGTGTTACTCAAGTCAACTCAAAGGTAAGCAGAATTCAAAGCAGCCCAGGCACCATTGGGACTGGTCGTCGTGCTGCTGCCAGTCGTTCCAGGACTGCCACCAGTTGTCATCGGAGTGGCCCCACCACCACCTCAGTTGATGCCCAGCCAAAAAGGCGATGGAGTAAAGCAACTTCGCACATCACCCGACAATTCAGTGAAGGATCTGGTCGTCCTCCTCCTCATCATCCTCTTCCTCGTCCTCCTCGGAGGACCCGCTCGCATCGTCCTGGACCTTGACATTGCTGGACTTCTTCTCGAAGTCCTTGCCTGAGCTTCAGACAAGAGATACTTCCGAAGAAACAAGTTCACGATGAAAGGCGGATTGTGAGGCGAGCCACAGATGTCGTCCACGATGCGGCGGCACCCTTTGGTGATGAGGTTCTCCGGGTGAGGATGCTGGAAGATGCCTGGGATCTTCTGAGCGGCCTTGCGAACCTCATGGTGGGGGCTGTTCAGGAGGACCTGGGGCAGCAACTCCTCCATCAGCAGTTCCATCCCCTGGGTCTGCCCCGCAGGTGTCGAAAGGAGCGACAACATGCCCACATAAGCCTCAGGATCGGCCCCAAGAGCAGAGAGGATGTAGGAGGCTTCGATCGCGCAGCTTTCCAAGCGATCGCGAGCCTTAGTTAATATGAAAAGCAGACATGATCAGATGGCAGCTCAGATTCAAGACCAAGGTGCCTCAAACATGGCGTCGACCGTGATCCGCTCCTTCTCAGCGTCGGTGAGGAAGAAGTTCGGAGGGTCCGTCTGAACGCCCCTGGAGGAGGACCCTGCTGCCTCAGAGGCCGTGGAGGAGGACCCGGCTGCCATTGGATCCGCGGACGGGGACCGCCCGGGCTCGTCCTCTATAGCTTTTAATGGTCTACCTGCTGACATGACTGCAATTCAGTCAGCCAGCTTGACAGGGAATGCCTTGCGAGCAAGTGCAATGACCGAGTGGCTCAAAGTCCAACAAAATGAGCATGCACAAACACTCCAAGCGAAGCGGGGAAGCGGGCTTGCCTCCAGCCAGAGGCTGCAGCAGGAGCACGAGAAGACCACAGCTTGTACGTCCTGTCTATCAAAAGATTTCTCCAGAGAACGGAACGAAGTGTCCGTCCTTTTTGGCCTCGAAGGGAGAGGCCAGGATCGCTTCATTGAGGACCTGGGAAGAAGACTGAGCTGCAACTTCAGCTTGCTCTGGGAAGTGTGCCTGACCCCACCTCGAACATGCTGATCCGGAGCATAACGATGTGGGACCTGAGCAATCATGACAACAGCCACTGGCAGCAGGAGTCGGCAGCTTAAATTCAGCACATTCTTTTTTCTCCTGTGGCCGTTTTCATCGACCAGACTTCAGCCGGCCACCATCGAAGGCAGGAGCTGCACAAAGCCACCAGACCGAGCACGATTCCAAGAGCGGCCCATCACCAAAAGGAGAGGCCGATGAAGACGGAGACACCAGGAGGTCACTGTTTGAAGGACTCCCTCGCCTCTCCTGGGTTCCGCATTGTTGGGAAAGGATTAACGATTAAATTTTAATTCCTTAGTACCCATACGATGTGCCAACGAGCCACGCATGCGTTTGACCTCCTTGAGGCAATGGTTGATGACGACACCTTCTGGGTGTGTCCAAACCGTTGCCTTGGTCATTCGATCGGCCGCGTTGGCCGCAATGCGCTGACCTCGAGCGGCATTATTAAAAATATTAGGAAATAAGATCCTCTTAAGCCCAATAAGGGAAATATAAATGTCCCAGCCAATGCAGCCATGACTCGGACCATCCGCTGAATGAGCGACTCGGCGCTGGCCGCACCACCAGGAGAGTGCTTGGACAGGATGAGATAGGCCTTGGCAAGAAAGTTACTACTTAACTCAGCGAGGAATACCAAGACAAAGGTTCGCAAGAAAGCACGAATTCAGATGAGAGACCAGCATACACTCATCGGGGAGATGGACCAACATCGCGTACGCGTGCGGCCTATGCTTGAGGACCTCGCCCTTCAGCTTGAACATCAGCCACTGCAAGTGCCGCCCATGCAGCACACGAGGGTCTGACAGGGCAAAGGCAACAGGGCTCAGAATTCATTCAGTAATACTGTAATTCTGAATGGTTCCGGCCTAGGTCCGGAACGGCCAGGGTGGAGGCATTGGAGCGACCCATGGTCGCAAAGGAGAGGCCTAAAACCGGACGTCACCAGAGAGGCCTTCTTGAACCAGTATGGAAGCAGCAGCCAGTGGTTTTTGCTCAACATGTGGCATCGGACAAACACTCACAGTGGCTTCGGAGAAAGTGACTAAGGGTCAGGCGAAGGAAGCCAAGCAAATGTACCGGGCAGCTCGAAAAGGACTCTTGGGCGACCTCTGATTGAGCACTTGGCAGGACTGGATTATTTCTCTCTCAGCCTCCGGCAATTTGGATCCTCTAGAAGGCCTCAGCATCAAAGGCTTAAATGGATGCAGGCCCCACATCCTAGCGGACGGAGGCCCGTTGAGGGACGATCGCCCTACCGGGCGACCGTCTGCGTCCTAACAGACGCCTCGAGTCCTAGCGGACTCGCCACGAGTCCTAGCGGACTCGTCTCGTCCTATAGCGGACGAGGGTGCGACCTAACGGTCGCTCAGAAAAAACCCAAACCTCCTGAAATAAGACACGCCATACACTCAGAAAGTCGCACCAAGCCTTCGGCTGCCAGGATGCTCGTCTTGACCTGTGAAAGGCTAAGCATGCTTAGCCACTGGGGAATGACGGATCTCAGGACCTGGCCACCAAAATGGAGAGGCCTGCACCATGAAGGGCCAAACATGCTGAGCCAATGCATAATCTCAGGACCCAACCACCAGCACGATCAGAAGGAGAGACCAGGAAGCCCGTCCTGATTTATTGTCAGTATGAGGCAAGGTCGTAAAGCTCAGGGCTGAACCATGCCTGCAGAAGAGAAGCCAGCGAGGCAGTCCTGGAGCGAGAAGGGCTATAAGGGGGCTGGGCCCATGGTTAAGTTATTGAAATCCAAAGTGCTGAGGTGAGAGTTGCATTTTGAGATTGTGGGTTTAAGGGGAGTTGTGGGATCAATTTCAACTTCTCGGAGGGATTTCTTAAGCAAACAAACCTCTCCTCGAGAATGCCAATGTACCCCAACCATTGCTTGAGCTGTGAAGCCCCGAAACAAGCTGACAAGCCAGAGGCCCGGATTTTTTCGGTGCACAACAGCGGCCAACGTCCAAGTCAGGAGAAACCTGCTTGGAAAAAGAGCCGCCTCTGGCCCTGGCTCCAAGGAAGATCAGTCAAAGCCGACAAAGGAAGACCGGCCACAAAAGAGCGGCCTAGGCCCTTACTGCCCTCTTCGCAGATCGACCACCACCAGGAGGACCCTTGTCGTCTTCCTTCTTGTACTTCTTGGTGGGCGGAGATGGCGACGAAGAGGAGCGGCCTTTCTTCTTCTTCTTCTTACCCTTCTTCTTCTTCTTCCCCTTCTCCAGTGCCTCTGCGGCCGACTCGTCGAAGTCTTTATCCTTCTCGTAGTCGTCCCAGCTGGAAACGGAGTGGCCTTCCTTCTTGAGATCGGCCTGGTCCAATACAGGGAATTGGCAATAAAAGAGCTAGGGTTCGGGCTTAAGAGTTTAAAAATCCAAATACATTACACAATGCCAACGAGAGGCCTTGTGGAACATGATGCGGACGTCCGTGGCAACAGAACGCTGGTGCGCTTCCAGGCGTCGTTGCTCCGAATCGTGCAACGTCGCAATGCACCGCTGCCTCGGAAGCGAGAGTGACCTAACATTTATAATTCATATAAAGGAAAGCCTATGGAAAGCTATTATTAATTATCTTAAAATGATCCAATGCATTTTAAGAACAAGATGTTAAAAGTACGTTAAACTGTAAACTCCAAGCTGCAGCATCTGGTTCATAAGAACCTCGCGTTGCTCCTGAGCGGCCGATGGTGGTGGAGTGGCCACATGGACATTCACCACGGGCGGTGGTGGAGGTGGTGCCTTGAACGGCTCTGCAGGGCCGGAGCGAATCGCGTCGAAGGGGGACCTGCCCGTGGGTCTGGAAGCGGCCTTTGCGGGCGTGGCCGCTCTGGGAGTGGCCTTGGGTGTGGATCCGGCCAGAGGGGCAGCAGTCACCGAAGGAGCGGCCTTGCCAGCCTTGGGAGGAGGACCACCTGCAGCTGCTGGTGGAGAGGCCCCTTGCGCCTTGGCAGGAGGAGCGGCCTTAGCTGGAGGAGGGCCTTTGGGCGGAGCAACCTTGACAATAGCTGGAGGTGCCTTGTTCGGACCCCAGACACGGTGCCACCGCGCAACGGCATAACCTGCCTGTCAGGGAAGTGTCAAAAATTCAAAATAATAGCTCAATTTAGCATAAAGGTATTAATTATTTAATATCAATATTAATTAATCAAAGAAAAATTACTCCAACTCTGCATGAACCCCGAAGTTTGCACCCGAAGTCCTAAAAAGATTGATGCCGAGCGGCTCCATGGTTCTTGACGTTCCGATGAAATTCATTGTTGGGCCCTTTCTTGCCCATGGCGGCAAGAGGCAAAAATGGGAGGGGCCTAATTAAGATGTCAATGTGATGCCACCTAAGTTTAGAGCTGCCCTGGATGATCGAGTGTTGCAAAGTCTACCTAAGATTCATAACATAGGCTATGTAGGCTGTACAGCAGGACATCCAAAGTTGCTGATCGAGAGACCTGAAATGGCACAAACCCCGAGTTTCGGTCAGGGTTTTGGGGTTTCGGGCTTTTGGGTCTCCTACCTCGAAAGGACCCAGGCTAAGCAAGGGTTGCTGGGGTTGAAGGATTCAGGAACCACGAAACCCATCACCCCGAACATAAGCCCAATTTCAACCTCAACCCGAATCCTTGTAAACTTAGTAGGAAAGCAGACAAGACCCTAGTTACTGGCAAAAACCCTGTGAAGTCCTGATCGGAGAAGCCAGTGGCGCGAGGCTGGGAGAGGCCTCAGAGACATAAAACATTAGGATGGGAATATTTATTATTAAGGCCCTCGGACGACCGTCCTAGCGGTCGACCGTCCTAGCGGGTTTATGGGGTTTGGTGAGGCTTCGAGGTACTAGTCCTTGGAAATTTAAGGAGAGGCCTATGGGGATGGGGCCTGGTGGAACCTCCAAGTGCACATTGTTCAATTCTAGCTATCATGGCTATCCTGAGGGTAGCTGTGGAGGGGCCTCGATCCTGACTACTGAGGGAGCCTGAGAACGACAATGATAAAATTGTTCAACTCTAGCTATCATACGGGAACCTCTAGCTACGGAATCTTGGGGGCCTCGGACGACCGCCCTACCGGGCGACCGTCCTAGCGTCCTCATGGACGCCGCGTCCTAACGGACGCCTTGAGTCCTAGCGGACTCGCCCCGTCCTGTAGCGGACGAGGGTGCGACCTAACGGTCGCTCCGAAAAAAAAACCCAACCACTGAAGAAACCCCGGCCTCCATCGTGGGCTAAACCTGAGATCTGGAGCCCCTGGCCCAGCCATGATGATGTCGTCGAATCGAAGGCCACATGAGGAGCAAGAGGGGGGCCAGGGTGGGTTCAGGAGAGACCAGGGATTAAGGGGTGAGGTTATGTTCAGTTTGGGAAGTTAGGTTTGGGGTCTTCGCCTAGGTTTGGGGTTAGGGTTTGGGGTCTTAGCCTAGGTTTGGGGTTAGGGTTTGGGGTCTGGGGCCGGGGTTAGGGTTGGTTGAGGCTAAGCATAATTAATAAAGTCTCGGACTTAAGGTTCGAATGTGTGAGTCATACAATACAACAACTGAAGTAATAGGTTTTTGCAGTTTAGGGCTTAGTGTCTCGGGCTTAAGGTTG